GTAGATCCCCTCTGAGCTGCAGGTGATCCTGTTCTCCTCCTGACTCATGTGGACCTCAGAGACTGGAGCTGCACAGAAATAAAGTTAAATGAAAAACTGAACTGATGATAAACTCAGAGGTGAATGTCTTCTGTCCTTGTCCTACCGTCCACTCTGAGGTGGACAAATGAGTTCCTGCTCCCATAGATGGTGTTGGTGTACCACTCATATCTGCCTTCATCCTGAACCTTCACTCCTCTCAGCAGCAGGGAGCAGTTTCCTCTGGAGATCTGATCCTGGAACAGAGAGGTTCTGTTTCTGAAGTTCTGGTCCTGCAGACCCAGCTGGTCCTGGTTGTTATAAAACGAGTGGACATGAATCTGTCTTCCTGTCCCCTGAAACCAGTGGATGACATCATCGTCTCTGCTGCTCTGGAAGCTGCAGGGTAAGATGCAGCTGTCCATGAAGACACAGAACACCTCAGAGTCTGGAACATCTGGAACAAACCAGGAAGGATCAACAAGCTGTGTGAGTGCTGAACAACAGCTGAACAACAGCTGAACAACAGCTGAAATCAGCTGAACAACAGCTGAACAACAGCTGAAATCAGTTGAAGAAGCTAAAGCATTAGAGCTGAAAGAAGCAAAACACTAAAAGTAGCCAAGCTAAATGCTGTATGCTAGCTTCTTCTATTTTTTTAGCTTGTTCCAGGAGCTAGAAAAAGCTAAAAAAGAAGATAGAAGAAGCTATCTGAAAGTAAGAAGACTAAAGTRGAGGCTTATAGCATCAGACAAATATCATGTCTTCAAATTAAATTCAATATAAAACAGTTTTAGTCTCTTTAGATCAGAACTTTTGTAGAAACAAAAAAAAAAACTGCAGAAAAAACAAACTAAAGTTAAATGTTTAAAATCTTTATATTTACGTTTCAGACATGATGGAGGCTCAGCAGATTATTCTGCAAGAAAGTTTTTGTTTCTGTTATTTTTCCAGTAAATAATTTACACCAGAATCTAAAATTACATTTAAAGTTTGGTTTGATAAAAACATTTAATTTAATCCCAACTGGATGAAATGTTCTTTTATCTAAATAAGTAGTTTTAAATTTTGTTTGAAACGTTTCATGTAACAAAATGATTCTTGAACAAAACAAACTTTTCTTTAATAATTAATGAAAGTGTTTAGTCTGTTAGTTATTAAAGTTACTTAGAAACAGATTCATCAGATTTTAGTTCAACTCTAACTTCTCCCACAGCTGAAACTTTCCAATTTGTTCAGTAAATKTGATTTCCTTTTCTTCTTGTTGAAGCTGATCATCTGCTCTGATTTAAACATCTTTATTTCTGCATCACTTTGTCTTTGAATGAAAACATTAATTTAGTTACAGAAACATTGTAAACTTTTATTTTTCAGCCTGTAAAACGCGAGGCTGCTCAGAAAACAGGGATTTTATTTATTTATTGCAGTTTTAAGTTCGTTTTCAGAAGATTTTCAGAAACTCACCTTGTTCTGCAGAAACCACAACGTTCAGTAAAGTTCTGATGATCAGAACCGTGGTCCAACAGAACATCATCCAGCTGCTTCTGCTCCAAAGTCCAGATCAGAGTTTGTGTAACATTAAGCCACAGCTGCCTCCCTC